GATCGCGGGCTCGGACCGAACCCGACCCGACCGCCGCCCCCAGCCAGGTGAGGTCAGCTCAGGAAAGGCGGGGAGCCGAGGTTTCCCCTTTACTGGAAACGGGGGCTGGGGAGGCGCGGGGAAATTGGGTCCTTTTTTCTTGAAAGGAGGACCTGGGAGCCTTTTCGTGAAACAGGCACAAGGGCTTTCATTCCGAAGGGATGGATGCATGGAGGGAAGGTCTCGGGAGAGAGGGATTGGGATACCCCTTTCTGGTTTTTGTTTTTTAAAAATAAGGATTAATTGGCTTCTGTGAAAGTGGGACTTCTTGGAAGGATGAGGGGCTTTCAAGGTAGGTTGGCGGGGGGGCTCTGGCAGGGCTTGAGGGAAGGGTTAACTGGTGAGTGGCGGGGCAAGGGGGAGCTCTGCAAGCCCCTCAGCCTGCACCTCCCGCCTTGGCTCCGGGGCTCTGGGTCTGCCCAGTTCTGTGTTCCAGTTTTTCTCTTTGAAGATGACTATTTTGAGCCCCACCTGGACAGAGCCAGTAACAGCCATTTCCTTCCCTGGAGCTATGACACCCACCTGACACACCCTCCCACACCTCTGACCTGCTCAGGGAAGGGGGTTCAGGGAAGGATGAGGACCCAGGGATCTGGGAATTACAGTGTGGGTGAAATGGAGGCTGGGTACTGGGCACACAGGAAGACCCTTGGCACTGGTGGGGTGCACCAACCTTGGTCGGGAGGTTGCTGGGCAGCTTCTTCTGGGGCATGACCCACTAGGAAAGCAGCGGTGTCAGGAAAAGCTGAGCTGTTCCCCATGCTCCCAGAAGACAAAACACTAGAGAATGCGTTTGCTTGCTTTTGTTTGGTTTTGCTTTCTTTCTGTCTTCCTCATCCTGGATCCCAAGACTCATTCCCCTGATCTCTCCTAGTTTTGCAAAAAGGTAAACTGAGGCAGAGGACAAATTGGCTGGACATACCTGTGTCTAGGAGGGAAGAGTGACAGAGAGGAAGGCATACGGAATTTGAGTCAAAATATCTCAGTGCTTCATGGGTGACCTTGGGCCAAAATGCTTTCCCTTGTTGGGCCTCAGCTTTCTCATCTATAAAATGGGAGAGGGCCCACCTGTCTTGCAGGTTTGCTGAGACGATGTGCCTAAAAGAAATTTGTAAAAGGGAATGTACTGCACACTTGTGGGGTGCCATCTTCACCACCGTGGATGGCCCCTTCCCTCCTCCCTGTCCTAACCAAGGGTATCACTAACCCATAGGACACCTTTGTGAGAATTAGAAAAGGCACCTCCTCTGGAAGCAGACAGCATTCAGTTGGGCTAGCAACTTGGGGTCTTTATTATGAGAATGAGAAGGTGGCATACTTTATCCCAGGTGCTGCTCTAACATGTGGAGTGTGAGCTAGATTCTAGCTAGGATGTTCTGCACATCTACACGTGGCAACCCCTTTCAGCAGGGCCCTGACACAGAGCTACACATACTTACAGGGTATTTTCTAAAGCAGCCCACATCCCAGGCTGTCTCCAGCTCATTTCTTTCCTGTTTTGTTTCCACATCAGGGCCTTTGGGTATTCAAGCCCCAAAGTGCATGCCCTACTAGGAAGCAGGATGGAATCCCTACATCAGACAGTGACTCCTTTGAGTCAAGCAGTGCCTTCACCAAGCTCCCAGGGGTAGGAGTGACTGAGTCCCTAAACCCTTACATCAAGAACTGGACCAGATCACTTTTGTCAGGGCAACCAACAGAAGCATCTGCACCCCTCAGCACTGCCATTGACAAACCATGTTCACACCTATCTCAGAGCACCCCCACAGCAAGCCTGTGTGTGAGGTCTCCTCCCCATTTACATGGAGGAAGCCATGCCCAGAGAAGTCAGGGTACCTGCCCAGGGTTTCACAGTGTGAGTGGTAGAGCCAGGACCTGAACCCAGATCTGGCTGGCTGTCCTCTCCAATCCGTCACTCCCAAGGAACAAAGCTGCTGACTTCACAGCCTTGCCAAAGCCCTGCTGGAATTGTTGCTCTCCCTGTCCATCCCTGGTAGCCCCTGGCTCGCCACTCCTTCCCCTGAGTAACCAGCCTCCAAGCAAAGAGAAAGGAGTCACCTCTTTTACTCTGATTTCACGGGGGAGGAAGCTACCTCAAAGCCCAACTGTTCTCGCCTCCTCTGTGCAGGAAGGGCCCCTGGTGAGGCCAGGAAAGGGGTCAGGGAGCAGCGATTTCCTTTCCTGCTCAGATAGGTCTTAAACAGTAATGGTCATGCAGAGCATTGACACAGAAAGCCAGTGCCTGCGTGAGTAGCAGACCAAGGACCATAAAATAACCACAGGAAAATGCAGCCAACTGGAACTGAGGGGAACTCAGAGACCCCCCTGAATCCCCCGGGTTACCAGGGCCCCTGGGTGTCAAACAGGAGGTGTAGGGGCGAGCCAAGCAGACAGGGCTGTAGGCTTCTTCAACCAGAGCGTTTCTCCTGGTCTGTGTGCAAGCTTTCACTTAAGAAAGGGGTTTCGGCCGGGCGCGGTGGCTCAAGCCTGTAATCCCAGCACTTTGGGAGGCCGAGACGGG